TGTGTTTGTAATGATGTTGGACTGTAGTTTTGTGAGAGGCAGGACTTCAACAGAAACGAAACTGGGCACAATCTCAAACGGTGATGCAACAGATTAACATGGTGCTTACTACATGCATGCAATGAAAATTAAATGCATTTATATTTAGTTACATGCTTCATGTAAGATATGCACACACAATGGTTTATTTATAACTTTAATTACGTGTTTTTCACTTCGAGTCCACTAGATGCATCCACTAGGGAGGGGTTTCAGAAATGAACTGACATCACAGATATATTCATTCAATGTGGGAGCATGTGCAAAATGCGCAGGCCTTTTACATGCATTTATTTCTTTATCGTTTAGGCATCCAATGTGTTTTTATGGCTGCAATAAAAAATAAAAATAAAAACCAAAGCCACATAAAAATCTGCGGGTACAAAAAAACATCTTCTTATTGCATTTAAGCAGATCATAAAAACAAACACAAAGTTTGAAGTGCAATTTTACAGTTCAGCTCAATAAAATAAAAGTTTCTGGAGAAAGTGCTGGAGATATTTCAATAATGTTTGTATTATGTCCCTCTTGTTTAACTTAGTTTTAAAATATATTATATTTAAGACGTTTGGACACAATAAATACATATTAAATATTGATGCAATGACAGGAGCAGTAGTGCGTGACTGTTCGGTGAAACCTCTCTATATCATTCTAGTTTGTCTCATGTGAACATGTTCCTAAAACACTTGGTCTCTGAAATGTAAACACTGTAAAGTCAAAAGTTGACAAGTAAAAGTCCGTGATGAACAGCGGCGGAGCTGTGATGTGGTGTGTTCAGCTCATGAACGCTGCTCATCCCTGAAAACACACACAGACTGCAGGAATAGACATCCTTGTGAAGGATGCACTTCCGCTTCAATATATATCCTTTTGTGTGGTCACTGATCGAGTTATTATTACGTATTTAACCTCTTAGATTTGAGCTGATTTAATAAAGTTATGAGTTAATAATATCTTATTAGTTAGCTGAGTTTCTCTCTCCCTTTTCTCTCTGAGAAACTGCACTCATTATCTGTGTGCTTTGGAGATAAGAGTACAAACCTGAGCCACTCAACCTTGAAGGGATTGCGTATTCTCTATGTGTGTGTGTTTGTTGGGAATTGTGTTCTCAGGACTGGACTACAGTGAAGTGAATAACTGCTGTACTCCATCTAAAGCCAACAACCCTGTTAAAAAA